ACTAAAACAGCTCAGAGAGTGATATCTTTGGTAGTCAGACCCTCCTGCCTCTGCGCCATCCTGTTTAACACCTGCAAAGTCACCCAAAACGGGGGTGAAAAGCTGGGTGGGTCAAAGTCTTGGGAAAGCAGAAACTTCTCACTGACGCCAAACTCTGAATGTAGAAAATATCACAGGCAAACAACGCACACATGCAAGCCAGTTCTCCATCTTCCTAACAGAGCAACAACACAGATTAATATAGAAAAGGTATTATATAAAATGCCATAATTAACATTCATAAGGTAAATAAAGATAAATGATGTTTATTCATAATTCTACTGACTCATTTTTCCCGTTACTTCATAGCTTATGTATTGAAATACTAATTTCAAGAGCACCCAGCACAAAGAACATACCAAAATAGTTGCACCTGCACACGTCATGCTGTCACCATTCAAAGCCTATGGCCAAATTTGATCCTAAACAGATATTCTAGTAAGGTTCTGAAAAATATCTGGGCCCATGCCTAAGAAAAATAGTCCTATTAACAAAATTTCATACCAATCAAAACATACCATTGATGAAGTGAAAAGCTCAACACAAGTTAATAGAGTTTCTAATGTTAAAATCCCCAACTTTCAATTAAAAGGGGAGAAAATCTAATGTTTCAATTAGATAAAATCCTCCCTATGCATTGTGAAGATTGTTTGTCCAAATTTGTCATTTAAATACCTTTCTTTTTTTGGCTGGCTCAAAATATCACCTTTTGGAGAGAAGCAGTGGTCTGCAGAGAGACCAGATCCCCCCTTCTCTTTCACATTTGCCACATACCTGCAGGTTTTGATGGGTTAGTGCTGAACTAAAAAACTGTATCATAACTCTGGGCTGAAAATCAGTCTTTTATGATATTCAGTGTCAACTGCATGTGTCTAAGTAAGACTGCTGTAAAAAAAAAAAAGTTTCAACTTCTGCAACTCGTTCTGAAGAGCTGCAAATCCAAGCCCTGCAATCAGCTGGTGAGGCTTCCTCCTGTAGGTGTCTGTGGGGAGGGATGAGCTCAGTTTAAATCCTACTTTTAAAGTCTACAAAAGCCAGGAACATCTTTTCAGCTTTTTGGTCATTTACTGGTGGACCAAGGATTGTATTGATGTACTATCTATTAAGTAACATTTTATTTTCCAACATACTGGGATCCCAAGAGCAGATTTTCCAGAGGAATGCATGGAGAATTGCCAAGAAGATATGCACCATGCTGCTGCATGGGAACTTTGGGACTTGACCTCTGGATCCCTGCTATCCTTGGCATTAAATCAGATGAAAAATGAGTAAGATCCAAATGCAAAGTAATCATGCTGCCTAAAAAAGCCCCCACAAAACAACAATAACAATAGAACCCCACTAACAAACCAACCCAGAGCCCCCAAAGAGGATGTAGGAATCCTTAATTGTTCATTTCCTGCTCATGCTCAGTGATCCAAGATCAGAATTCATCTTCCCTTTCCTATATTTCTCATTTAAGGTGAACCAAAACCATTCAGATGCTGTTCCAAGTCTATTACTTGTCTGCTGCTCTCTTCTTCTCACCTGCTTTGTCCCAGAAAAACAAGAAGCACCCCAAATTAATGGAAGAAAGCATTTGAATGCCTCAGTCCCTGGGCAATAGGAGCCCAAGGAAGTAGCAATCAGCTGCTAAGACTGCTGGCACACCAAAATTAAAATTTTCTTCTTCCAAGGGGCTGAGGCCTATCAAAGTGATCCCCAACATCCCTGAGATGGGTGGAAATTTCAGCTAAAGATGTCCCAAAATCGCACACCTCCCTCCTCAATCAAACTCAGGGAGATGCTGCTAAAAGAGATCCTAACCCTGCCCAGCCCCAATATAAAACCACTTCTGGTTTTTTTGCCCATCTTTGCTTTCTTCATGTAAGCTTCCTTACAGGGGCACACAACGAAAAGGAGGACAAAGGCAGGAACTAAGAGCAAGATTAAAGAATATGCAGCACAACTGAACTAAACCCCCATTTCAAAGCCCATCATACACTGTGCACTTGTAGCAATTTCCTTCTTTTTGTAAAAAAAAAAAAAGACTAAATCCTTTGAGGTTCACAGAATTATTTTATGTCCATTCAGAGTACTAATGGAAAACAAATTGCATCTTTAAGCACTGAATAACCCCATTTAGAGCTATATTAATATAAATACATTTTTCATTTAAAACCAGCAAGTCTAACACTGGTGCTTATAAAGATGTCTTATAATTTACTGCTGCTCTTCTCCAGCCAAAAGTGGAATTACCACTGTCTGTGTATAAACTTAATAAACAGCACACACTAAACTGCCTGGTCTTTCAGGCTGATGAAAGTTGGTTCTTATCAAAGGATCCTTTGTGGATGTTTTGAAAGGATTTAAATTGCTTTGATTGCATTATTAACAGTGTCTGTGTTGCTCTTGTATTTCCGAATGATCTGGAAAGCTGGAACATTAGCTCTTGCATTCTACAAAAGATGGTTTTCCATCTCTAATAAAAATGCTTCAATACAAAAGATAATCCTTGTGTTCAAGAGCAAAACCCCAAGATGGGCCATGTTAACATGTCTGAAGACCTTTTCACTCTTACTCTCAATTTTCTGTGGTCTTCGGACCTGGAGATGTCATGGGCAGTCAGGATTTCATGAACTTTGCTGGGAACCCAGGTACTTGCAGTGGAAAACATATCAGATTTTTCTCTTTGAGAAACTGAAAATAGGGGACCGTTTCTGATGAAGAAACAGGGATATTGCTGTTTAAACTGCAGAGCCTGATCAAAAACCTGTACAGTAATGTAGAGAGGGATCTCTTTTTCATGGTGCCTATTTGGGAAAATTGCAGGAATGGGAGGAAGCAACAGGAGGGAAGTTCCTTGTCCTTCTTGTCTGTTATTTTCTGGGGTTTGGGGTTGATTTTTTTGTTGCTGTTTGGGGAGCGAGGGGGGCTGTTTTACAATGGAAACCTGTGGTTAACATGCTGAGGACTCTCCATTCGCCCTGTCTCCAGCAATGCATTTAAAAACTGAGGCAAGCCAGATGGTTAGAGAGCACAAGACAAGAATAAAAATGTCACATTTCAGTTCATTCAAAAATTCCTATAAACTGTGGCAGCAAGTCATGTTATAAAATGAAATACAAGCATCCAGGCTCCTGTGGGAATTCAGTTACCAGCACAACTAATATTCTGTGCCCTGCAGACCTCAGTGGCATGCTGTATTTATAAAATGGGGCTAATGGCACTGCCTGCCTCGCAGCAGCGTGGCCAGAAAAAGTCCATTAAAGTGTGGGAGCCCCGAGTGCTGCTGCATGGCCCCGTGGCTCCCGGCTATTTACTCACAACGCAAACTCCCGGAGAGGAAATTCAGTCCAGGAGAGCACAGCAGAGTCTTTTTATACAGGAGCCACTCTGCTGCTCCAGAATTCACCTGGCACTTCACAGAGATGAAAAACGACGACGCAGCCTCTGTCTCGGGGCGTGTTTATCTTGGCAGGTCCAGAGCCCTGCAGGTGCCGGACAGCAGCTCTGAAGCCAAGGGCTGTGATGAAGTTCTCTTGCTGGTGGCAAAAGCACACTCCCCTCTGACCATAAATATTTCATCTGCTTTCTTTATTTTTTTAATAAAATACGGAAATTGTTATGACCTATGACAAGATAATGGCTTGACAGATTCCTTATATTAAACAGCAGCTCGTCCCGGTCTGCAGTTCAAACCAGCCCTTCACTACTGAGGAAAACTCTAGACCTAATATATGAACTACTGGGGGAAAATATATTTTTTTCCATTTGAATTTAGGATTTTCTACGAAAAAAAATTCTACTTGGAGATCCTCATCTATGCTGTTACAGCAAGTGTTGTTCTGGCACTGACTAGCTAAGTTTAATTAATTAAAAATAAGAATGCAATCAAGCTTACTTGAGACAATGGAATTACCCCAAACTGGTTTTAAGTCCTGCCAACTTAATTTTCTCTGCTTGTCAGCTGTCTTTTTTAAAACAAACAAAATTTAATCTCCTGATCATCTAACATCTAATGTAATTATTCAGATGCAGACAGTGGTTGCTTTGTATAACTTCCCTTATTTTCACTCTTTTCATGGCATTAGGCTACAGGGATAAACTCCACACATCATAGCAGCATTACACTGGAGATGGAAACAGTCCAGTTGGACCGATATGGAAAATATGCTTGAAGAATATTGGAACAAACTCACAGTTAAATACATTTCAGTGATACATATGGATCTTCTCATTTGTTTTTTGAAAGCAGCTGTATTGAAGCTTTGCTCATGGAATTCTATTTGAAAGTCAAATCCTACAAGCAGTTGCATAAATATGTTTGCACGAGTACTTGAACCAGAACGCATTTGTGGCTTTGTTGATTTTGGACAAAGATTTTGACAGGAGGAATAATAACCCACCCTCCCTTTTTGTAGCAGCAGCAGGAGGAGGATCAAACAAGATCCTGTGATCTCCATATAATCACTGCACAGGAAAACATGAGTGGGGTCCAGAGCCTGGGGAGGGACCCTCAGCTCTCACAGGGGAGACATTTGGTCATCCAGCCTTGTGCCAGCAGCACAGTCAGATGGCAAAGAGAAAATGCTCTGCCCCAAGACCAGGCTCTTTGCCAGTGGAAGACAAATTCTCATCCTAACAAAATCTGAGCTACTCTGCTGAGTTATTCCAGCCCTCCCCCAACACTTCTGGTATCTTCTAAAAGTTCCTCTCTCAGGAAACTGCATCCCTTCCATATGGGTCACTGACCAAGCCCTGTGTTCAAAAGCAGAAACTGCAGGGTCAGGGTTCAGCTGAAAAAGATGGAGTTTGCCATTAATGCTTGAGCCGCTCAATCAGAAAAGCAAAAATATTGCTGTGTGAATTATGGGGTGCAGAGAAAGACAACAAACAATTGCTGCCAATAACGAAGACATTCTGCTCAGGATATTCTGAGTTGGAAGGGACCCAACCATCGAGTCCAGCTCTTAAGTGAATGGCTCAAATGGGGATTGAACCCCCAACTTTGGTGTTATCAGCACCATGCTCTGACCAATTGAGATGGAAAGAATGATTCCCATCAATTCCAGTAGCTCTTTGGTCAAGCACACCTTAGTTTTCTCACCTCTCCTCTGTCAAGTACAATTTACATGAATAAACCACTCACTCTGTCTCTCAGTCCCACAGCCAACACCAGTAGCAGGACAGTGGAAATGCGTGCACCAGGATTAATTACCAGGAAATCTGGATTGCGAATGTGCAATGGGAATATTTTAAAGTCTTTTCTTTTTTAACTTAAATTATTAGGTACCATGTTTTTAAACACATCCTTTCTTTTACATTTGGCTGCCAGTTAAAATAACAGTGCATAGAAAAGGAAGAAAAAGCAAAAAAGAGCAGGGAGACAGACTGGCTGGCTGACAGACAGATGGGCAGGTGTGTTACACTTCTAGTAAAAAAATGACCATTACTAGTAGTAAGCTGCTTTCCATTCCCATAAATTACACTTGAAAAGCACATGGCCCTGGATCAATGCCTTTGGTGAGGTTTCCCAAGCACAGTGTTTGAACAGTTGTCTCTGTGGCCAGTCACAAAGGTATTCAGGGCAGGGTGGGCTCCCAAACTACTTCCCACTGATCACAAAAGATGCCCCACCAACATTTCCCAGCATTTCATGTGGTACTTGTGCAGTCCCAGGAGAAGGGCTGCCCACACCAAAACCCTGACCATCACCCTGGCTAGAAAAGGAGTTTGCCTTTATCTTCTTAAATTACTTTCAACAATGTCTCTGTGGCAAGACCAGAGGACTGGAAAAAAAAATCCCTGAAAGAAATATGAAAGCTCACCTCAGAAATGCCCTGTGAAATTCGGGGAACAAACACTTAGTTGTTCTCATTTTGTTCTGCCTTGGATGAGAATGACAGAACTGGATGATTTGTTCTCAAAGACTGTAGCTACTGAGATTTTGAATTTTTTTTTTTTTTTATTTGGGACTTTTACGTCCAGTCTGAAAGTTTTTAACTGAAATACCAAACTTATTTTCTGTCTAGTGCATTTATTTAGACTCCTGCCTGGTGACATTCTGGGTAACACATGCTGAAAGAAAATTTCAGTAGAAGTTGCAATTTGAATGTTTAACGTTATGAAATCTACAGAACTGTTGCTGTTGTACATAGCACAAAATAAACATCTCGATTCCAGGAAACTGATGGAGACATCTTGTGAATCACTTTCTTAAGACGAAAAAGACTTCTGCAAAATTACTCTTTGACTTCTAAACCAGCCTAGGTAGAAAGCAAAGCAGCTTTCCTTTTTCAAGACTGAGCTTTTACCAGGTCAATAAGTGGCAGAGTGCAGAGCCACCAGCACAGTCATTCTGTGAGTGCATATTTAAGCAGCACACATTACTGACAGGCACATAATAAAACTATTCACAGGGATTACTTACTCTGCATGCAGTTCAATAGTCACTGCAAGTCCTAAGCATCCCAGCCATTTTATTAGTGAATCCTTTAACAGAATAGTAGATGCTATTAGTTGTTACTTCATTGCTAAATTTTCTTGGGTGTTTTTCTTTCAGTTTTTTCTCCTGATGTTTAGAAACCCCAAGCATCAAGTACAACAAAACTCCACACTGGTAAAACTCCACTTATTTTATAAGTGTTTGTCAATCCCAACCTTTAAAAAAATTGCACAAAAAGCTCAACCACCAACCTAAGTAATCAGAGAGAATAATATACTGAAAAACATAATCAATCCTCAATGATCTTTAAGGGGTACCACTGACCTGTGACAACAATGCTAAATTACCACTTAACTGGATCTTTTGCTCAACTACAAGTGGCTTATTTGTAATAATACAGACACTGACTTTGCCTTGGTTTATATTGATGGGCTGATTTGACTGCCTGCTGAGAGACAGCCCCCTCTGAGTGGGTGTGAAGGAGCTGAGCTGCTGAGTAAAATTGATAGGAGGAGTGGAAAGGAGGTTTGAAAGTCATTTAGAAACTCCAAATGCACTGAAAGTAACTTGTGCAAGAGGAAGATTGCCAGTGGCAAGTATTTTTTTCTCCTTTTTGACAGAAGTTTGCAGTACCAGGGATCTCTTCATACCAAATTACTGGGATGGATGCAGAGGGTGTGGCAGCTTGTGTCCAGACACAAAAACCATGAGCAGTCTTACTTAGGTCTACAAAAAAACAAAACAAAACAAAACAAAATACAAACCAGAACAAAACAAACAAAAAATAAATAAAATTTTAGAGAGAACTTCCACTTCATTCTTATGAAAACTGGATTGTCATAGGGAAAATATGTGAAAACTTTTGCAGTTTTAACAATTATTCTAGTATCAGGATTTTTTCAATTTATCCTTTTTTTCCTGGTCATTTCTTGGTTTATTTTCACACTGTCATACAAAAAAATATCTTACCCTCATGAAGTGCTTTTTCCCATTTTGTTTCCTAACTTTCAACATACAGCCACAAATGTCCAGCAACACAAAACAATGGTGTTCAGATCTGCAGAACAAGAAGCCCAGACTATCATCTCCAAAGTTACTGAAAAGATTTCAGTGAACAAAAGGCAAAATTAATAGGAACTTCAAGTAGGGTTGCCTACATTGTAAGCAGTGATAGGATATTTAAATGTTGAAAAAATATTTAGACATTTTACTTCTCCCTTGGAAGAGGATACTTCAACATGTTAGATCTGAAGAAATAAATTAATAACTGAGATCCTAATGCTTGCCTAAAGGCTTCTTCAGCACTTTTCTAGCCAGGTGCTGACCCACTAAGACATTGCTTTGCTCAAATATATCAGCTAGATACTGAAATCTAATCTGATTGTCTCATAAACTTTTATAGCAGAGTGACACATGGAAAGGAGTAACTCTGGCGTGGTAAAGCAGCCTCACAACTACATGAGAAATCCATTCCCAAGTTATTCTGGTCAAGAACATAGAAAGAAGTGAGGTGGATGAAGCCAGAAACAAGAACTGTGCAACTGCTCACGCTGCCTTTTCTGAGCTGGGTGACACCACCTTCCCTCTGGGTGAAGCATCCATCATCTCTGAGACTGTAAATGTGAAGGGATGCTCAGACATGGGGGGAAAGATCACTTTTATGGGTCAGCCACTTAGATTTGGGTTATCCCTTGAATTCTACCAAGCAGAGTAGCCTCCTGTGCTTGCACCTTCATGCTGATCTCCAGAATGGGTAGGGCAGATGCTGTATATGGCTTTTTGGTGTGCAGATGTTTGGAGCAAGCTGTGGCTTCACCAGTAGTATTCTTTGTATCATGTACCTGGATAGGCTGCTCCTGTCACCTCATGAGTCAATGCAACTGCTGCTGGGAGTTACCAAAAAATGGAATTCAGGATTTCTGTGTGCAATTGTCCCTTTAGAGATGGGTAGGTTCTCTTGTGAGAGTGGGGTATGGGAACACTCAGCACAGTGCACAAGGCTGGAAGAGAACCACCAGCTAAGGGTTAACAGCTCCATTGCCAGGACTGAGGTGCACTGTCTCCTTGGATCCTCAGCCCAGGAACTCCACAGAAGACAGGGATTTCCTCTTCAGCAGACACATAAAATGTACTTCTCTGAAAGGAAAAGGGGGAAAGGGAAGGAAAAGAAGAGCCCCATGGCTGATCTGAAAGGAAAGCATGCTTGCATCGTCACTGAAACATTAGAGACATTGTTCGAGTGCAGTTCATCCTTGCAAAAATATTATCCTCGTCTCGATGCCAAGGTCGGTGAAAGTATGGGCTACTTGCCATGGAAGTGCTGGGTATTTAGGCTAGACCTGTCATGGGGCTTATTTACTCTCTGCACCCAACGTTTCAGACACACTCAAGTGTAGTGTTCATGTCTTGGCAGGAACTTCTCATTCATGCATTTTCTCCTGATCCCCTTTGAGGAGTCTTCCTCCTCCGACATTGCAGTGGTTGAAATTTCATTGCTTGCTGAGAAAACCAACACTGATTAATTTCATCCTACTTGCATGGAAGAGGTAAAGTATGCAGGTCTCCAGCCAGGGACAAGGAAATCCCTGCTGCTTACATGCCACATTGAATAAGCAGCCCATGGTTGAGGCCATTGGACTTCAACAGTCTTCATTCCACCCGCAGGAAAGAAGCAATTATCCATAGCAGCATGGGGAGCAAACAGGAAGTAATGCAACACATTCACTTTTGATTGCAGAATATCTTTTTTTATAAGACATAATATTCCACAAGGAAGAATTCAGCTGCAGCGTTACGTCGATGCCCCCCAAATTATTAAAGGAACGTGACTGAGGTTGCAAAGCTAAGCCTCAAAACCTAGGAAAAACCTAAATTAAAGTTGCTGCTGCAGCCTGAATGCCACTGTTCACTGTGTGTGCATTCTGGTACAGTCTTTAATTACATCACTGCAAACTGCTTTTCCCACAGGGCCTTTGCCTCATTCAGTGCACAGGACGGACAGTGCTTAATAATGAGCAGCTATTCAGTGTTTGCTCCTCTCCTCTGCTTGTGTGTGTGGCCCTGGACTGTATTTACTGCACACCAGTCAGGCCTGCTCTGAAGACAGTGATTCATTTCCCCACGGACCTTTCTGTGACATTCTCCAACACAGGCTTTGAATAGCTCAGGTGTATTCATAGATCTGTTTGCACCTCACCTTTGGGAGACAGAGACTCCAATTTTGCAGATGGGGAACTGAAACATAAGAAGATTAAGGTAAAAAGTGTCCACTGATTGATGCTACACGATTTTCTGTGTATTTACATTTAAATGCTGTTCTCTCTGTCCAAAGCCAACCTTCCATTTGCTTCAGTTGGACACGCTGGAAAAAATCTCAAGGCAACTACTCAGAAAATGGAAAAAAGCACAGTTAGAGGCCAACTGTGAAAAACTAATTTTAAGTGACTTGCCTGTCATCACATAAGATCCAGTTCCTTAGTATGCTATTCAACTGCTTTGGCTATGAGACCATTTCCTTTGATGCTGCAAATCCCCATTTAAATTTATCACACACTTTTTACCTCATGCAGTAAATGAGTCAGCCATTCTATCCTCCTTTATTAGACAAC